CAGACACTTCTCAAAAGGAGACATAAAAATGGCTAACAGACACATGAAAAAATGTTCATCATCATTAGCCATCCGGGAAATTCAAATCAAAACCACACTGAGATACCACCTTACACCAGTTAGAATGGCAAAAATTGACAAGGCAAGAAACAATAAATGTTGGAGAGGTTGTGGAAAAAGGGGAACCCTCTTACACTGTTGGTGGGAATGCAAGTTGGTACAGCCACTTTGGAAAACAGTATGGAGGTGCCCCCAAAAATTAAAAATAGAGCTACTCGATGACCCAGCAATTGCACTCCTGGGTATTTACCCCAAAGACACAGATGTAGTGAAAAAAAGGGCCATATGCACCCAATGTTCATAGCAGCAAATGTCCGCAATAGCCAAACTGTGGAAAGAGCCGAGATGCCCTTCAACAGATGAATGGATAAAGAAGATGGCGGAATATTACTCCGCCATCAGAAATGATGAATACCCAACTTTTACATCAACATGGATGGGACTGGAGGAGATTATGCTAAGTGAAATAAGTCAAGCAGAGAAAGTAATTTATCATATGGTTTCACTTATTTGTGGAACATAAGGAACAGCATGGAGGACATTAGGAGAAGGAAGGGAAAAATGAAAGGGGGGAAATTGGAGGGGGACATGAACCATGAGAGACTATGGACTCCGAGAAACAAACTGAGGGTTTAAGAGGGGAGAGGGGTGGGGGGATGGGTTAGCCTGATGATGGGTATTAAGGAGGGCACGTACTGCATGGAGCACTGGGTGTTATACACAAACAATGAATCATGGAACACTACATCAAAAACTAATGATATATTGTATGGTGACTTACATAACATAATAAAATAAAATAATATTAAAAAATAGCCATCCAGCACATGTTCACGTCTATTTTCTTTAAGGAAGGGGGAGATTTCAGCTGTCTTTATAGCTACTGATTTTTTAGTAAATGAAAAAATAAAATGTATGAATAAACTAATACAAATTACAAATACACAACTAAATATCACCTTCAACTTTTTTTCTAAACTATATCCCAGTGTACCTATGAGAAGTTTTATTTATTGTGGAAAACCTTACCATCTGTACCAATCAATAGACAGTGACAGCTCTGTCATGCTTTCAACAATAAAATTAGTAAGTCAGTGGTCCTATAAATATATCAACCAGGGGAAAGTGACTATTCAAAATAAAAGCTTGGCAAACATGAAGTAAAAGTTAAAATTTTCATAATCTAACACTAAAAATATATTTCATTTTCTCATAAATGCATATAATATCTTTCTAGGATAACATATTTTTCTCCCACCTTAACATATATACTGTAAAATATACATAGTCCATATGCAGTGAAAACTCTAAAATATTTAGTCACTTGTTAAACTAAGCTTACACAAATTAGGATAAAATGATATTGAAATAATGTATGAAGTAAGATTTAGTTGATTAAAGCAGTGAAAGTTTAAATGCCTATCATTCTTTGCTAGTTTTAGAAAAAGAGATCAGACAACCTGTGCAATGTACATCTCTCCTCCACTTCTAGAAAAACCTTTAAGAAAGTCCACATTGTCTACCATACATTAATTTTTGTGTGAGTGATCTTTTTTCATGGGGGAAGGGGATGTGAACTTAATAACCAAATCAATGTACTACAGGGTAGAGACAGCATTTGAGGATATGGGAGTTCCGGCGTAGAGAGGGGCATTAAAAGATTAAATTTTGGGGAAGTCTAGGCAAAAGAACTGTAGGTTGGGTTGCTACTATCTCCATCTCTCAGGGACAGGAAAATCTCAGCTATTCCTGGATAATACATATTTTGAAATTATTCTTTTTTAATCAATTTCTCATATGTAAAATTTTTGACCATTTTTCTATCTTGGCTGGCAGTATTGCTGAGTCAACCTTCTTCCTTTCTGTTTCTTGAGTAGATTGGGGCAATGAGGTGTCAATATGAATCTCCCCTTCCCTGTAAGTGCAGATCCTTAGATAGGCAGAAGTGGGGAATCAGAGCACAGAGGGACAATCTGGCATGTGCCAGCTGAATTTGAGGTAGAAGGGTATTAACAGTTCATCCTTGAATGAAGAGACCCACAGAAAAAGGCACCCATATTAGATCACCTCCAAGGTAGCAAGTAAAGAAAAAAGACAGATAAAAAGAGTAAGAGACAAAGAAAGTGCCTGTAGGAAAGGTACCCTGAATGACAACAGAGGAGAGATCCTGCCCCAGAGCTTGTGAGCACCCAGAGGGTTATCCATCTAGAGCACCTGGTTAGCTGGGAGAGTAGGGGAAGAGAGAGGGGAAACAAGTATTTTTTTCTGTCCTCATCCTCGCATTAGGGAATTGCTTATTTTAAGCAGCCCTGAATTGATGATCTTTGCAAGATTTTCTAAGTTTACTTTAATGCTTTCAGAAGGTTAAAAACTATGGCTTCAGATGCTTGAGTTTGGCTTTGTTTTGCATCAGATTTGGTCTGTGTCCTTGGGACTAACGGTATGCTCACTGGAATCACACTACTTAAATTAATCCTGAGAAAATTCAAATCCTGAGAGAAATATAGTTGAGACATTTTAAAAAGTCACTTCTAGTTTTTACTTATATTTAAATATAATTTCTTAAGAATGCCTTGCTCTTTATCCTATTGTCAGATCTCTAAGATTCTAAGGTCTGCTTCATGAGAAGCTAACAGGTTTCCCTGTCCTTTAGGAAAGGGGAGAAGGGCCACAGAAAGGAGAACAATTCTTCCTGTTTTCTGTGGTTGCCAGCAGAAGTGCCTAGGAACACATCCAAAATATCAGAGCAGAGAAGGTGCCTCACATTAAGAAGACTGGCTCACAACTACCATGAAATGAATGTATATATTTTATTCTATACTTAAATATTTTTATTAAAATGGCCTTCCCTTCCAGTTGCTTTCAAGTTGAATAGAAAAACATACTGCTTATGCCAAAGATATAGCAAAAGCCCATTTTAAAGTACCTCAAATTTACACAGATTTACTTATACTGTGGATTCAACGGTGTGCCTTAAATGTACATACACTTACATGTGTACTTGAACATATCTACTTTCCACTATAAAATAGAAACCATCCAGTCAAAGGAATCCACATTTGATACCTATTTTCAAATCAGATTTCTAATGAAAGCATGGTTTGCTGATGAAAAGTTTCAATATTAGAGTACAGACACAGATAATTGAATTGATTTATAATGACTAAACCAAACCATGGAAATAAGTCCAGTTCACCTATTCTCATTAACCTGAGAGTCCAGTCTATTTATTAGTTGTAATGTGTGATTTAAAGTTTAAAAAGAGTAAAACAGATACTGAAGGAGTTAGTATAATGAAATATTCTCTTTGAAATTTGAAAATCTGGTTGCATTCCATAATTAATTTTCCCTGTGAGCTAGGCCTACAACTTAAAGTCTTCTCAAGGGAATTTTTAAAAACTACCAAATGATAATCTTAAAATTGTTTCAAAAGGCAATTATATAAAGTCCTCAGTTGATTTATACTATATCACCATTAGGAAAATAAAATTTAAAACTACCCTACTTTCTACACTTCCTTTGAAAAAACTTGTTTAAAAATACAAATATTCAATTTTAAACAAATAGTACATACTGTTTCATTTATATAAATATAAAAGTAAATAATTATATATCTTTTAGATTCTGAAACAAAAATGGCCATAACTAAAAACAAGTGCAAGAAGAATAAAGGTTTGATGTTACTGTACCTACCTTTAATGTGATACTATAATGTCCAACAAATGTTGCATTTATCCATGATCTTGAATGGGGATCACCCAGGAATTCTATGTGATATTGTTCAACATTTCCATCCAGGTCAGAGATCACGTATTTCCCTTTAAAAGGATCTGGGCAAAGTATCCCTGGCCAACTTTCAAAAGAAAGTATTTTTAATTATTTTGATGCTTTTAAAAAGGCAGAAATCAATACATCTGTCATAATCATATACCAAACTTTCTCCTTTGAATTTTAATAACTCAAAAAACTTAAACATATTCATACTTGTATCCTTTAAAAGTAGGATATTCATTTGATACAAGTAATCAGTTGTATCTTTGTAAATACAGAAAGCTTTGGAAAAGTCACATATTTAAGATAAACATAAAATATGAGGAGAAAGAATTATAAGACAAAAGAATGATCTCTAGGATCTGCAAGAGATATTTAGACACTGCTAATAGGAAAGATAAGATTCATGGCAGGTTTGAATCAACTCTAACCAATAAGAATGCTTGTTACTAAAATGTTAATCCACTGAGCTTCTGATGGGGTACGAGAGAGCTGGCATTTCCTGAGCTAGGGCTGCCAAAGGGGTAGTTTGGTAGCACAGGCTGTGATAACATTGGAGAGTCTAACTACTGAGGAACAAGCCAAAATAGAGCTCGGCAGTTCTATATTGCCCCTCCCCCCCCATCTGCTCCACTGGAAGGAGACCAAATTTCTAAAAATTTTTAGTATGGGAAATAAAATTTATCCTTTACTAAAAATAAATCTTTAGGAGTATGTCCTTTTGTGCCACAAACCTCTAGAAATTATAGAAATATGTTTCATTTTTCTTTTTGACAAAAACAAAATATATATACATCAACTAAGTTTTAACTATTTTACCAATTTTTCTAGACTCTGACCTACTGTTTGGAGCCTAAAGCAGGAAAGGAAGGCAGCAAATAAAGTCAGGAAGCTGTGACTAAGGGATGCCAAGTTCTACCTCAGTTCCCTCGTGAAAAAAGATAGTGAGGTTCAAATCAGGAGATCCAGGCTCCGGCTCTGCCTTCTACCAGACAAGAGGCCTCAAGCAGATAATGAGACCTTGCTGTGACTCCAGTTCCTCAATATGCTGTTACATAATTCACACAAACATGTGCTTTATACATTTTTGGTTTTTGGCAAATTAAAATATTATAAAGTGCCATCATTATGAACCAAATTGTGTTCCCCTCACCAAATTCATATGTTAAAGTTCTTATAACCCCAGTACCTCAGAATGTGCCTGTATTTGGAGACAGTGTCTTTATGGAAGTGACTAAGTTAAAAGGTGGGTCCTAATCTAGCATGACTGGTTTCCTTTTAAAAAGAGAAGATTAGGGATTGCATTGAATGCATAGATTGCTCTAGATAGCATAGACATTTTAACAATATTTGTTCTTCCAACCCATGAGCATGGAATGTTTTTCCATTTCTTTGCATCTTCTTCAATTTCTTTCATGAATTTTCTGAGTACCCTATCAAAATACCATCAACTTTTTTTCACAGAGCTGGAACAACTAACCCTAAAATTTCTATGGAACCAGAAACAACCCCTAATTGCCAAAGGAATGTTGAAAAGAAAACCAAAGCTGGTGGCATCACAATTCCAGTCTTTAAGCTCCATTACAAAGCTGTAATCATCAAGACAGTAAGGTACTGGCAAAAAATAGACACAAAGATCAATGGAACAGAAGGGACAACCCAGAAATGGACCCTCAACTCTATGGGCAACTAATCTTCAACAAAGAAAGAAAGAATATCCAATGGAAAAAGGACAGTCTCTTCAACAAACGGTGTTGTGAAAATTGGACAGCCACATGCAAAAGAATGAAACTGGACCATTTCCTACACCCTACACAAAAATAGACTCAAAATGGATGAAAGGCCTAAATGTGAGACAGGAATCCATCAAAATCCTAGAGGGGAACACAGGCAGCAACCTCTGTGACTTCGACCATAGCAACTTCTTGCTAGACACATCTCCAAAGGCAAGGGAAACAAAGGCAAAAATGAACTATTGGGACTTCATCAAGATAAAAAGCTTTTGCACAGCAAAGGAAACAGTCAACAAAACCAAGACAAACCAAGAATGGGAGAAGATATTTGCAAATGTCATATCAGATAAAGGGCTAGTATCCAAAATCTATAAAAACTTATCAAACTCAACACCCCCAAAAACAAACAATCCAATCAAGAAATGGGCAGAAGACATGAACAGACATTTCTGAAAAGACATCCAAATGGCCAACAGACACATGAAAAAGTGCTCAACATCACTCGGCATCAGGGAAATCCAAATCAAAACCACAATGAGATACCACCTCACACCAGTCAGAATGGCTAAAATTAACAAGTCAGGAAATTACAGATGTTGGCGAGGATGCAGAGAAAGGGGAACCCTCCTACACTGTTGGTGGGAAGGCAAGCTGGTGTAGTCACTCTGGAAAACAGTATGGATATTCCTCGAAAAAGTTGAAAGTAGAGCTACCCTATGACCCAGCAATTGCACTACTGGGTATTTACCCTAAAGATACAAATGTAGTGATCCGAAGGGGCACAACACCCCAATGTTTATAGCAGCAATGTCCACAATAGCCAAACCATGGAAAGAGTCCAGATGTCCATTGAAAGATGAATGGATAAAGAAGATGTGATGTATATATATACAATGGAATGCTACTCAGCCATCAAAAAAAATGAAATCTTGCCATTTGCGATGATGTGGATGGAACTAGAAGGTATCATGTTAAGCGAAATAAGTCAATCAGAGAAAGACAATTATCATATGATCTCACTCATATGTGGAATGTAAGGAACAAAAGATAGGATCATAGGGGAAGAGAGGAAAAAATAAAACAAGATGAAATCAGAGAGGGAGACAAACCATAAGAGACTCTTAATCATAGGAAACAAACTGAGGGTTGCTGGAGGGGATGAGGGTGGGGGAATGGAGTAACTGGGTGATGGACATTACGGAGGGTATGTGATGTAATAAACACTGGGTATTATATAAGACTGATGAATCACTTACCTCTACTTCTGAAACAATAAGACATTATATGTAAATTAACTGAATTTAAATTAAATAAAAAATAAATAAAAAGAGAAGATTAGGACACAGACATGCACAGAGGGAAGACCATGTGAAGACACAAGGAGAGAGATGCATCTACAGGTCAAGGAGAAAGCCTCAGAAGAAATCAACCTGCTGACAATCTAACCTGAGACTTCTAGCCTCAGAATTGTAAGAAATTAAATTTCTGTTATTTTTAAGCTACCCAGTCTGTGACACTTTGTTATGGCAGCCCTAGCAAACTAATCATATAAAGGTATACAATTATATATAGATACAATAATTGGTATAATTGAGAGGTAGAAAGAATGATACAAAAACATTTTTTGCCTCATTTAATTATTTAGAAACTAGATAAATTAGATATTTAGATAATTTTAAAACCTAAAGGAGGCATACAGATCATGCTATAAGAATCTGAAATTACAAAAATGCAAAATCCATAAATTACTTGGGCTCGAGGACTATAGATGGTTGAACTATTAAATTATCAATTGATATGAAAGTTACAAAGTCATAAATATAGAAATATATCTACCATACCATTGTAAAAAAGTTTTTACAGATTATAAATAACACAATGTAAACTAACAAAAATATCTCAGTATTATTAATGCTTAGTATTATTAATGCAAAAAGTTTGATTCCAGAAAATTGACAAATCCCAAGTGTAGTTGCCAGGAGGTGGTGAGTTGGGTGCACCAGTCACCAGGGAAGGTGGAGTGTGAGAATGGAGCAGACATCTAGCTGCTCCCTGGATGCTGAGCAGAGTTCTTTGGCTCTTGGACTCTCTGAGTTAGGGAAAGGGTAGGTGGAAGGTCTGCCTAGCAGCCTTAGATCATGGAAGAGGAAGGGCTAGAGGATTACAAATTGAGTCAGACTATGTGGAACCCAAAGCAGCCTAATACTTTGGAAAATTGGAAATGATAATGGAAAGTCAAGTAGAGGTTCGGGACCTAAATGAAGATGACTATCTCGTTACTGTCAGGTTCACATCACAGTATCGTTGCTATTTGGCAACCCTTATTGGGCTTAAGAGTGCTTAAGAGAAAACTTGAGTGGAGTTTATCTTTTAAACCTACATTGGAAATCTACATTTCTGAAGGAACTCACTCAAAAGAAGATTTCAATAGGCAAATAAATGACTAAAAATGAATGGTAGCTGTATTGGAGACTCCTAATTTATCAGAAATTAAGAAACAGTGGGTCCTCCAATGGATTAGGAACTATTTAAAAAGAAATCAAACTGTGATTGTTACATTACATTTGTTGACTATCCTTTGTAAAACACAAGGGGCTCACGTTTAATACTAGGTGATTTGCACCTCACAAAAATTTTTATACCAAATTATAAGTAGCACCAATTTCATTCAGTGTAAAACAATCACAGGATTTCTAACACTTGAGATATGAAAGAAAAATATCTTGCAGTTATTATGTTTAAGATAAGCTTTTCTGACACAAATTCTGATACAACTTCTTTTACACAAAACCTACTGGGCCCGAGAGTATTCAATTTATTTATTTTTTATTTTTATTTTTTCTTAATAATACAGTATTTATTTGTCTTCCCCCTGTCAAACCCTGAGCCAACGACTTTCCCCAGGCTGCCTGGGGAGGTATAGGAAAAGGAACATACAGGGCGGACAAGACACGGTAGAAAGACCTATGGGAGGTGGAGACGGCTCCTTCCCATGGCGAAGAGGATGAGAAAGGCCACCATCAGGCAAAAGAGCCCCATTTCCTCCAAGAGGGCAAAGCCCAAAATGGCACAGGAGAAGAGCTGCTGCTTCAGAGAGGGATTCCTGGCATAACCAATGATGAGGCTCCCAAACACAGTCCCAATTCCAGCCCCAGAGCCAGCCACCCCTACCGTGGCAGCCCCAGCCGCAATGAACTTGGCTGCTGTGTCGATGTCCCTTGAAATGAGACGCTGGTTTGGAAGCTGCGGCTAGGAATAAGTGAGGTCAGGGGACGTGGGGCTGCCAAGCTGCTGAGGCTCTTGTAAGGTACCTCATCTGTCAGTGTCTCCGGTGGTTTAACACCACTGC